GGCATTACTGCCATGTGTGCCCCTGCCTGGCCATCTGAGCAGCTATTGCCCAGAAGATGTTTCCAGTGTGGTGGCCTGCTTTGAACTGTCAAAGCATGTCCTCCTGGCCCCAACTGGCCAGGAGGTCAGCCACCTCCAGCTGGGTCCAAGGTACCAGCTCTGAGCAAGCAGTGTCCTGCCACTGGCCTCCCTAGCAGGAATTCTGGTGTTCCCTATTAAGAAAACTGAAAAAATCCCTGAAAAAAAAATCCCAAAGTCACTCTGTAAAATACCCCGAAATCCATGTTTCTCCACAATTAAAACTAAAAGACTATTATATATAGGGGGAGAGGGTGTGAGAGACAGAGAGACAGCAATCAGTTGGGCAATGTTTTATTGATACATCTACAGTGTTAAAGCAGTTTGAAAGCCTACCAGTGTCTCTATCATCATCATAAAATTAATTCTAAATACCTATATGTTGATGCATCTTTACCTTGGTAGATTTGGTGACACAGTCGGTAGCACAGATCCCCCCAAAACCCTTTATTCTGGCATGCTTTTTACATCAGAGCCCAGGGCATCACTTGCCCACTGCTAGATTTGCTACTGGCTTGCTGTTTTTAAAGCTTTGAAGCCCATCCCATCTCTGCTGCCCCAAATTAGAAAAGGAAAAAAAGTGATGGACGTATTGGTGGGAACAGGAAGCCCAATATGTAGTGGTTGCAAGGTACCTTGTAGATAATGAGGATCAATTATTTGAGTCAAATCCCATGGTACCCCCTTGAGATCAGCCTAATGTGTCTTTTAATAGGCAGGGGCAGCAGCTACAAGAGATTCAGCTGGCCAGCCATGCAAACAGGAAGGAGAGGGCAGAGTCAAGATTTTTTGTTTTTAGAAAATGCAGCAGACAGAGCTTAGAAAAACTCATGACTCTGCTTGGGCTACAAGCATGAGAGATGCCTGATTAGAAAAAATTGCTTGATGTGGTGATCAGTAACCACACTGGAGCCAGAACATCTGCAAGAGATCATCTTTATTCAGTGACCAGTTCTAAGTGCTTCTACATCATAGCATATAAGCTGCTACAGTTTGTCCTGAGATTTCCTACCTGGGAATCTAAACCATTTAAAATTAGAGTTCCCAATAGAACAACTGAGAGTTTAATTCAACTACATGGACAAGGCAGGGAAGTTTTACTCTAGTGAAGACAAACAGCTCTAGCTGATTCTCACTCTGTTCACCAGAGCTGGGCAGCAAGAATTGAAGTTACAAAGCTCTATAACATACCACAGATCAGCAGAACTTGGTTACCTAACAACTTCAGAGAGCCCATGAAACCTGTTAGGCATTATGGGTGCTTGTAAGCGTGATGGGGTTTTAGTCCTTAGAGTTGTATTGTAAACCTCCTACATTGAAACAGTGAGTTTTTAATTGAAACTGCGGATTTTATGTTTCTGTCACTGTATATATGTTATTGTCCTGGTGGCCACAGGTGCCTGTTGAAGGCAGAAGCAGTGAGAGGCCTGATCCTTTTTTAATTTTTTTTCAGCAGAGCCTGCCTGCCTCTCCCACAGCCAGGGGGCCATTAATCTGTGCCATTAATCTGTCATCTTGCCCCCCAGCCATGGGAGAGCCAAGCAGTCTCCACAGAAAAAAAAGGATTGGGCCTCTCACTGCTTCTGCCTTCAGTGGGCTCCTGAGGCTGGCAGGACGCCTGGGGCCAACCAGGAACAGGCTGGCTTCCCCGTGGGGCAGTACAGGGAGGCAGCAGGAGGGCAGCTGGGTGGGCTGGTGGCTGGAGAAGGCAGCAGGGATGGTGCATGGGGCACTGGAAGCCCGGGTGGGCTCAGGGAAGCTAGCAGCCCACTCAGGCAGCCCCACACCCCGTCCCTGCCGCCTTCTCCAGCTGCCAGCACACCCAGCCACCCTCCTGCCACCGCCCCACACTGCCCCAGGGGCAAGCCAGCCTGTTCCTGAGCAGCCCCAAGTGTCCTGCCGGCCGCAGGAGCCTGCTAAAGGCAGAAGTGGTGAGGGGCCTGATCCTTTTTTTCTGCAGAGCCTGCCCATCTCCCTCATGGCCAGGGGGTGAGCTGACTAATGGCTGCAATGTTCCAAGTTGCAACAATGCAAACTAAACTACATCGGGATGTAGTTTAATTTGTAACAATGCAAACTCATTTAAACCCCCCAAAACTCATGTATATGTAATGTGTGATGCCATTAAGCCACACAAAGGGAAATTTTTATCACATGTATATCGTGACATTGTCACGTGTACAAGCACCCCCTAGGGCTTAGCATTCACTTATCTTCCATATAGTGCATTGCACACTGGTTAGACTCCACGAAACTCCATGAATAGCATGACTTATGCCACCAGGAAACAAAGAGGAGGGCTCAGGTGGTTCTGCATGTTAAGAATAGGGTGTTTACTAAAGACACAAGTAGGCCTGACTGCTTAGTCACTTGAATGCCTTGGCATAGGGCTCCTGGCCTGTGGCTGGGCAAGCATCTCACCAGGGAAGAAGGTTCCCTTCCCAGTTGATGAAGGCTCCAGTTTCCTTCTCAGAGAGCTTGGCGAGAGTGTTCATGATTCCTCGCACACCTTCATCCACTGTCATTGGGGCCTGCAAAGGGACAAAGGAGAGTGAAGGAGAGAAACATGCCCTGAGGCCTGTCCAGTTTCCTGTGTACAGATGCTGGGGCAGGTTCTTCCCAGTTTAACATGCACCTAGATGCTAGTTCTGGGTGGACTAGATCTCCCCTACCCACTGTGTTACCTAGTGCTTGGGCTGGGTGTGGCTGGATTTGCCATAGTCCTTGTGATCTCTGATGCCAGAGGTGGGGTTGCCCAGATCACTGCCTTCTCTGGTGCCTAGGCTGAATATGGCTGAGCCTTAGTTACTGTGACCTCTGGTGATGAGCAGGGACCTAGGACTGCATCTCCAAAGACAATTACTTTTACGCAGATGACCAGGATAACCAGTTCCAACCAAACCTAGATCACCCTGGCTGCCACTCTGCCAGTATTTGTTCTATGTTGCCAAGAGCTGGCAGATCCATGACATCAGTAGTGCCAGGAGTCAACACTAAAGATATAGTACTGAATCCCTGGGGAAGTGAATGCTGCCAACAGCTGATTTGGGAAGGGAGCTCCTGGGGAGTCTCCATCAGTCCAGTATGGAACAGGAGAACAAGGGACCAGTATGGAACAGTATAACTAGGACCCCTAGAGTAAACACCAGTTTCCTCGAAGGAGGCTATGATGGATCTCTCCCAGTGAGACACCTGCCTGGTAATCGCTTGTATTCCCCATAGTGGTCTGCAGCCAGCCAGGGTGGAGAGCGATGCACAGGATCCCCAGTTCCCTGTAGGCCAAGGACTGACACTTGGTGAGCATATTCAGAGCAGCCTGTAAGTAAGACATTGCTATAAGCAGAGACACCAGCACATCATGGAAGGAGAATGACCTTCTTCCCAGGGCACTGTCAGATGCTGGAGAGAGAAGGGTGGGCTAAAGGGGATGACCAGTGCTAGTGGCAGTATTTGATTCTCTCCCACATTAACCATGGTACAGTGTTACTGAGCCACTGCCAGTTGCTGTACGTGCATTTATAGGCATTTAGGAGATCCCCAAACCTTCTAGACTTAGCAACAAAACTGCCAAGCTGGCAACATGGCTGGGCAGAGAGGGAGTGGGCAGGAGTAGGTGACCATACATCACATAACAGGAACCAGAAAGTGAGGAGGAGCCAAGTGGATTGGTTGAGAGTGGTATGGAAAGGCAGTGGTGGGGGATCTTTTTTTCCTGAAATGTAACATGCCAAAAAGTGGTGTGAGCCTATCCCCTACTGAGCCAGCCCTGTACCTTGCTGCAGCGATAGGAGACAGCTTGCCCAAATTCCCAAGCTAGGACATTCTTGATGGAGCCAGCTTCACTGGACATGTTGATAATGGCTGCCTTGCTGCAGCTTAGCCCTTTCTGGGCACTTTCCTGGACAGCCTTCTTCAGCAAGGGCAGGAACGCCTGGGAAGAGGGGAGAGAAGAGGCCCAAGGAATCAGCTCAGAAGAAAGCAACTTGTCACAAGGCAGATGACCTCCAAGAGTGATGAATCCACCTCTTTGTGTTAGTCATCAGTTGCTCCCATGGCTGGATCCAAGAGGTTACAGAGGTGCAATAGCACACCCATTCAATTCCTCTTCCACATCTGCTGTCCACAGGAGCCCTGGGACCAATCCAGCCAGAACTGGCCTGCCAAGCCCCTCTTCCCAAGCTACGCACAGAGATGGGGTATGGAGCAGATGAGTGTGCAGGGTGGTGGTGGGGGGTGGGGATGGGTGCTTTGCATGGCAGCAGAGACCAAGCCAGGGTGGGCCTGGGGTGAAGTGAAGAGGTACTCAGAGGTTGGGTACTGGAGCAGGTGGCAGGTGTGGTGTGGACTGTGCTCGGTGGTAAAGAGCAGTGAGTGAAAAGTGGGCCAGCGATGGCAAGGTGTGACTACTATACTTTCTGCAGCCTCTGCAACCATGTGGCTGAGGGCTTCCCTCCAGGCACAGGTAAGGGAAGAGGCTCATCATCATCTGCTCCACCTTGTCTGGGCTGGTCCCCCCTGCCTTGCCTCCTGATGCTTCCTTCTGATTCTCACTGAAAAAATTCAAAATCCCAATGGAAAACCATAGGTAGCAGGAAGGGAAACCTCTATATACCAGATTGTGTGGTTTGAAGAGACTGTTAGGTTAGTGCATTGTTGTCCCCAGTGCTCTTGCTGGAAGTCTACTCCAGTCAGGATCTGGAAGGATGTCCAAAGGTTCAGAAATTATCTGACCCACGTTTTGAGAGCTCAGACATCCTTGGAAAGTTACATGATCTTACTGATTTTTATCCATCATGTCTTCACATCTGGAAGGAGACTCACTATGCAGTATCTGTGGTTAGTGAGTTGGAGCCTCCACCCTAGGAGTCGAATGCTGTTAAGAACTGGAACATGGCCATGTACTTGCAGGAGATACTGAGGCTTATAGGCTTCTAGGCATTTACAAAATTTTACACCATTTGACCTGCCAACTTTGTCCTGACAGAGGAACACCCAGAAGTGCTTGGCTTTGGGGCAGGCCTTCAAAGCATATTGCCTACATTTACCAGCTGTGAAGTTTAAAGTGTTCTGCAGTGGCTTCTTACAAAGAAGAACCCTGTAAGATGCCTATGGGGAGGAATTCACAAACTGTCCAAATGAACAGGCAGAGCTCACTACAAGTCAGAAAATCAAATGTAGTGATGGCCACGTGAAGGCAGCAAGAACAGACAGTGACAGGGACTGAAAGGACATCAAGCAAGAACTATTCAAGGTCTCTGAGTTCCTTCTCGTACCAGGAATTATACCAAGAGACACCAAGGATGGAGAGGTTCCAAGCAGTTCAGAAACAATCATCCAGCTGCCAACAGACTGGCTGAGGGAATTAGAACTGCGCTGCTGGAAAGCTCACAGAGGGCAATACCAGAATGTCCTCTTCATCAACACGAAGATCTCAGAGCAGAATTCAGTGGTCATTAAAGCAGGTTATTCTACTGCCCAGCTACAGCTCAGCACAGCCTGTACCACCACTTACCTTCTGGTCTCCTCTGATGCTCTCTTCCCCTGCCCCTCCGAGAGGGAAGTGCCAGCACTGAGGGGCCTAAGCAGAACCCCCAACACCATTTTCTAATGAGCCCAAACTTGTAAGTTCACCAGTGAGGCTGCTCCAGGCTTATCCCAAAATACATGCCAGAGACCAAGGACTCAAGAGTGGGAGTGAGAGATGAACCCAGAGCTGGCTTCCTCATGTATGTCTGCATCTGGAACATGACAGTGGTGCTCACCCTCTGGCCGGTGGGCTGAATCTGGCCTGAGGGAAGAGGTCATCTGGCCTGTGGGCTCCCCAAGGGTGTGGAAATTTGGTGGTCAGAGAGTAATGGCAGCACTCCAGAGTGGGCCTATATCAATCAGAGTTGCCACCTCTCCCACGCCACCACATTCCTGACCCGTAGGGAGCCCACAGGCTGGAAGACATGTCACCACATGCCAGATTGCACCCACAGGCTGACCTGGCATGCCGACCCCACCAGCCCATGAACCAGCTCTGTGCCATGCATCTAGCCCAAAGAGCCAGAAAGTTGAGAGCCATTGGCATAGACAAGTCCCTAGTTATCTACCTCATCCCAGGCCTTATACCAGAGGACAATCAGGGTTGCTGGTAGAAAGGGAAAACTATATAACCCAGACCTGCCAATAAACAGAAGCTACTGAATGGTGTGAGAGAACTTACCATGAGGTGTGGCAGGGATTCGAGTGGTTGTGTGCCTAACTCCCTCAGACCTCTCTGAAAGCCCAGAGCAGGTTATTCTTGCAGTTGCATGAGTATAAAAATGAGAGAATTGAAAACTGCAGCTCTGGAGATCTAAGAGTGCAGAAAAGCTGTTTGAGGACTAGTAAGTGACTGTGTCATTGAGGAACAGCCCACAATACAGAACCTAGCAGAGCAAGAATTTGGCACATGGGCAGGCCTTGCAGTCTCTGGACAGAGTATGGAGTTTTCTGGAGTCTGAGTAGGGAAACGTATTGTTCCAAAGAACATTGTGACCAGCAGGATGAGGTGCTGCATCCCCACACCATCTGCTACGTGTGCCAAGCTGGTACTTCATTACCAGAGGACATTCCCACAAATTCCCACACCCATCCATTCAGACCCTGAAACAACAGGAGTCTCACAGTGGAGATATGACAAGGGTGCTTGGGGGTGGAAGAGAAGGCAGGGGTTAGAGCAGAGGAGAAACAGAAAGAAATTTAAAATGCCTCCTCTTCTGCAAAAAGCCGCTATAGACCAGTTTCTAAAAGCTTTAATTGGTCAGTTCAATTACTAACACCAGAAAATGCCATGAATAAGACTGTGGGTGTGTCTATGCATTCATTAATGCACCGTAGTTACTGCACATTAAGTTTAGTACTTGCATAACCAAGTACCAAATCAATGCACAGTAACTCGTGCTACTGCGCAGTAGCGCTGGCACACAGCTTTTTAGTGACACTCAATGCACAGTAGCCTAATACTGCTGCACAGCAGCGTATTAGCACAAGTTTTGCCCAGTATGCTACTGTGCAGTATTATTAGGCTACTGTGCAGCTAGCATCTTGTATAGATGCACCCTATATGCCTTACAAAGCTGAAAGAGAAGCTGAGATCTTGGGAGCAGAAGGATCTAGACCTGCCATGGAGCTGAGGATTGAAGCTAACAAGCAACTTATGTGTTATACAAAACCTCTCTGCATTCTGCTTTCCAATCTTCCTAGTACAGACTATTTCTCCAGATGTGCCAGAGACCACCCTACCCTTTCTTTAGAAGCCAGATTATCCAGAGTCAGAGCTCTACTGGGGATAGCACTGGGTATGCTGGGTCAAGTTGCCAGGAGTTGAAATCCCCAAGTGTCTGAACACTACACTTCACCAGCAATGACCCCACTGTGGAGACTGCCACTAGTGCTGCAGGAAAGGGAGGTCTTCAGTCACACACACCAGTGTAACTAATGATGTCATCTTTATCAGGACACTTACCTGGCTTATGACCAGGGGTCCAATCGTGTTAGTGGCATATACCTGGGACATGTACTCTGGCGTCTCTGCCTCTAGGGTAGTCGTCTTCACAATCCCAGCGTTGTTTATCAGCAGGTTCAGTCCAGAGCCCTTCAAAAGCCCCTCAACTCTGGCTGCTGCCGCCTTGATGCTGACTGGGTCAGTGACTTCTACAGGGGAGGGAGGAGGACACACATTATGTGACTCACTCTCCCTCACATCTCCCCATAACACTTTCCCAGGGGCCACATTAGCCTGGTCTGTGTGTGGGAGTGAGAGTGCTAGGGGGAGGGGGAGTGAGCACTAGCCCCTGCCTCAGAGCAGGGCTGGAGGAGGCTCTCACCCAGGCTTTTCCATAGACCGAGTCAAACATTAAATCAACTGTCTGGGGAAACCTTCACAGTGCCCAGGGAGTTTCCATTCCCCCTGCTTCCAAAGAGCTCTATGTCCTTTATCAAACCAGCTCTGGATTTTCAGTAACGTGAAAGATCTGCATAGTTATGGCAATATAAACATCCACTAATAATGTCACCTCAAATGAGCAGAAGGGAAAATTATTCCAAAAAGCCAGTAGTTGTGCACAAAGTTGTTCAATTCTGAAAACTGCTTGTCTTAAAATGAAAAACCTTTTTATTCAAAATATTTCAACCCCTTCAGCTGGATGCTACTAGATATTCCAACTGGGCTTTTAGATCTGTCTCTCCTTAAACTCTGCCAGTAGCTCTCAGATACCGTTTACTCTAAGGGCATAGGAGTGCCATCAACAGCATGAAGCCTGGGGCAGAAGCAAACAGCCCTGAGGTTTGGTCTGAGAATATCTCTGCAGCATAGGTGCCAACTTTTATTTTTGCTGGAGGGGTGGGGAGGAAGGCTAAGATGATGGACATGGCACCTGTACTTGGCACCATGTACTTGGCACCTCTGCTATGCAGCATCACAAATACAAGCTGCACAACACGCCCTTCACTGCATGCGACTTCAGTTGAGAGCAAACGGCAATATCTTGTAGCAAGCTGTGCCACACTGAGGAGCCCTGCCCACAGTGTATTATTTATGTCTGAGACTTGACTGGCTCTAAGAACTAGGAGGAGCCTTCCAGCTGCCAGACAAAGTCAGAACTGAACCCAGGGAGTGTAGCAGTTTTGGCACTGTTTGCAAGGCCCCTTTGCAAGGATCTGTTCCACTCTTTGCATCATGTCAGAAGCATCCCTAGGGCTAGCAGGACTGCCCACCTTTTTACAAAGAGCAGTGCCTGGTTATGAAATTGGTCACTGGACTCCAACACAAATATTTAACCCAGCAGGAATAGCCTGTTCCTGCCAAAATCAATGGGTTGCATACATGGCAGAGTATGATCTGTCTATGGCCTCATACATGGCACAGGGCTCTGGATCACAGACTGCTAGCCCCAGCCAGTCTGGCCCATTGGGCCACCAGATGATTTTCAACTCCAGGAACCACATGTGACTCTCCTCCCGCAGGGGCCTGCCTGGCCACATGAGAGCTTAGAATTGCTCTGCACTGGCCCTCCATATAATATCACTCTCTTGGTGCTCTCTCAGCCTCCCATGGTGGTCTCACTCCTACGGATCTGGGGAGTCAGAGAAGTTTGACCTGGTGCAATGGTTCTCACTCTTATTTGCCCTGCCTCCCTCCCCACACCAGGAAGTGGGCTGGGAGGCCTTCTGTTTACCACCTCCCAGGGCCAAGGGAAGAAGGTGACCTCAAGCGAGAAAACCTCAGGAGCACCTACCTAGTTGGACTATCACCAGGTTTGGATGCCTGGAGGCCAAATTCTTTAATTCCTGAAAGAGAATAAAGACAATGATTATTGACTACTTACAGAGCAGGGACAGTAAGAATTGGGGTGGGAGAGGTAGGTTAGTCTGGGAAGAGTCCAGCTCCCAGAATCTACCTGGGACAATGTCACTATCGAAATTACTTTGGCTGTGCAAAGTGCCCCACCCCACCCTCCTCATCCTCCCATGCAGCCCCCTGCCCTGGCTTTCTGGGTCCTGCAGGATGACTCTCATCTCCTGCACATTTAAAGCACCTTTGTCCCACTCAGTGCAATTGAATCAGATACAAGCTGTCTGCCTGATCATTCTTTAGAAAGCATATGCAGGCTGTGTAGGTATCAGCAATATACCCGACCACATGCCCTCTCCCTCACTGAATGCTAAAGTTTGCCCATATCCAGCTCAGAGCATGTCTCCAGCTCTCCCATTCACGTTGGCTGCCTGGTGAGCTGGGAGATCTAAGGCAGCCGCTGAGGCAGGAGCAGGGTGTGAAGTCCCCCCCTGCTCAGACAGGTCACCCTTGACATTAGGTGTTGCCAAGTTTGAGCCCACTTGCTCAGTTTCCCTCATCAGCTCAGCAAACTCAGTCTCCGCATAATCCATTCTCACCTGTGCTCCATCTGGGTTCCGGCAGGTAGCAAAGATCTTCTCAGGTGGGTTTGATCTCTCCAGGAACTGCTTGACGAGCTCAAAGCCAATTCCTCGATTGGCTCCAGTCACCAGAATGCTGTGGACATTAAACCCAGCCATGCTGCCTCACCTCCCTCTGTCCCAGCTCACAATGACTCTCAGCACTGAGAGTTATGCTAATTATAACACCCACTTGCCTTCTTCTGGGGTTGCATAAGCACTTGGCTCTAGGGCCCCAGCTCTCTGCTCCTACATCAAGGGTTCTTGGCAACAGTTTATGGCTAGGAGCCTGGCTTCGTCACAGCAAAGGGCAAAAATCAATAGGAGATTAGTGGAACTTCCCTTTAGGGCTTTGAAAGCCACCGGGGATTGGAGGAGCTCTGCTCCACTCACTACAGTTGCAGAAGGGAGGGGCTCTAATGTGCAGAATACAAGGTGAACAAAGATGTGGGAAGGCAGCCAGGGAACCACAGAGGTCAGATGGGTCTAAGTACATTTCATGGGGCCCTCTTATGCTGTGCAGGGTTTCCGGTGTCTTGCTGAAAGTATAAGAGTTTTAGTAGGTTACGAGCCAGCGTGACTAATCTCATTTTGTTCCTTTCTGACTTTTTGAGCCGTGTGGCACTTAGCACTGACCTTCCAGAGCTGGGCACTACAAGTTACCTGTTATGTGTTATCATTCAGCTTCAGGGTAAACACCTTCCTTCCATTTTACTGAACCACAAAGATGGAGAACTTGCAAAAACTTCAGTTCTCACCAAAAACTGCACAGTACATTCCGTATAAGCATGGTATATAATTTAAGTCTAAACAGTTGGCATGTCACACTGTATGACACATTAGCCAGACCTATGTATGTATGTGTGTGTGTATAGATAGATAGATAGATAGATAGGTTTGTATCTATATAGGTATATCCATATAGGTTTGTATATTATGTTGCTCGCTCTCTCTCTCTCTCTCTAGCTAGCTAGCTAGAGAGAGAGAGAGAGAGAGAGAGAGCAACATAATATAAAAATCTAAATGGATAATCAATAAATTCTTGCTGCTCTGCAGTCTCCTCAAACTGCCTCTGCTGCTGGGATCTGAGCTATTGTCTTTCCTGCCTCAGTGATTTTAACTCCCTGGGCTCTTCTGTGTAATCACAGGTCTTTACACTTAAATTCCTTTTAAAAAGAGAAAATAAGCGAACTGCCAGTGATTGCCCAAGAATCTGAGCATTTCAAGAGTCTTACAATGTAAGTGGCAATGCTATCACTCCTCTATCCCCAAAAAGCTGCTCCTGGCTGTGGTTTCTATAAATATCCTTCTCCCAGGCAGGGGTGGAAGGACATGGGACACTCATATGCCCGGGTTTGGCTCTGTACACTGCTGCCCCACCCACCTGCCCAGTCTTCCTAGTACAGGAATGGACTATTAGAAGCCTAATCCCTTCCCCGCAGCTCCTGTATCTCCAGTCCATTGTCAAGAAAATCTACATACTAGGATAAGATGTGCTAGGATTCATGTGTCTGAGCTTTTCTCCTACTACCTGTGGGCATGGCCGACTGGTGTCACCTTTGTTGGGGGCGGGGGGGGGAACATGCCCCCCCCAGCGACCAGTCAGTGACCGGGGGGGGGTCCCCCGTGGCCAATTGCATCAACCAGGAAGCAGCTGTGGCGATCCCAGAAGTGGCCACAGCACTTCATCTGGCACTCCCACTCCCTGACCGGCACTCACAGGGAGGCCACCAGTGCTCCCATTTGCCCCCTGTGGTGGCGAGGTGCCCCCACAGGCTCTCAAAGGGAAAAGAAGAGAGCCCGCGGACCCCAGGCCCCGGGAGCAAGCCCCCAGAGGGGCATACGTACCTAACAATTATTAGCCTTAATAGAAGAGTTTAGGGCGGTGTTCCAAGAGGTCCCGGGATGGGTAACAGGAGTAGAAGATGAGATCAGGACACCTCAGGGGGCCCTGGTTAGGGAGAGGTGGAGACCGATACCTCAACGGTGGCAAAAGGAAATAAGGCAGGAGATCATGAAGATGCAAGAACAGGGGATCATACGACCATCCCGCAGTCCTTGGCAGAGTCCCATAGTCCCCATGGTCAAGCCAGATGGTTCACTGTGCATATGAATAGACTATAGGAAGCTTAATGCCCTGACCACGTTTGATGCCTTTCCGATGCCCCATGTCATTCACCTCGTTGAGAAAATCAGCGAAGCACAGTATATAACTACGCTTGATTTGGCAAAGGGGTATTGGCAAATCCCAATGCGCTCCACGGACTGTGCCAAAACAGCCTTCAGGACCCCGTGGGGCTTATTCGAGTTCACGCGGATACCCTTTGGCCTCAACGGCGCGGCTGCGACCTCCAAAGGTTGATGGACAACTTATTGGCACCACATGCAGCATACGGGGCAGCGTACATTGATGACATCATTATATTTTCCGCCAGTTGGCAACAACACCTTAAGGCTCTCAGAGCTGTCCTGGGAGAACTCTGAGTGGCGGGGATGACCGCCAACCTGAAGAAATGCAAGCTGGTGGGAAAAGAAACAGCATACCTGGGATTTCAAGTAGGCCGAGGGACAATTCGGCCCCTTACAGACAAGATCGAAGCTATAAGGCAATTCCAGGAACCACAAACCCGCAAACAACTGCGTTCCTTCTTGGGACTCGTTAACTATTATCAGCGATTTATACCCAGCTTCGCAACTCTCTCCACACCACTTACAGACGCATTAGCGGGGAGATCTGCAGCGCCGCTGAAATGGACACCAGAGATGCGGAAGAGCTTCCAAGACTTGAAAGAGGCAATGCACCATGATGTTATTGTGCACACACCTAACTTTAATGCCCCTTTCATTTTACAGACGGATGCATCAGGACGGGCTCTGGGAGCGGTATTACTCCAAAAACACAGGCAAGAAGAGCGCCCAATCGCATTTGCCAGCAGAAAACTCAGCCGTGCGGAAACCAGGTATGCCACCATCAAGAGGGAGTGTCTGGCAATACGCTGGGCAATAGAATACTTTAAGTACTACCTAATGGGGAGGGAATTTGTGGTAGTGACTGATCACATCCCACTACAGTGGTTGACACAGAAACAGAGCATGAACGCCAGGATCACCCGCTGGGCTTTGGCATTGCAGCCATTCAAGTTCACAGTAGTACACCGTCCAGATAACTTTGTGGCTGACTTTTTGTCCAGATGGGGAGGCGTGGACAACCCAGAAGAAGGTTCGGGTCGCATCCATGGGGAGGAGCAGCAGGTGGTACATGCCATCTCACGGGAAAACCAGATGCCACGAGGCAACTTAAGGGGGGAGGTCTGTGGCGGCGAGGTGCCCCCACAGGCTCTCAAGGGGGAGAGAAGAGAGCCCGCGGACCTCAGACTCCGGGAGCAAGCCCCCAGAGGGGCGTACGTACCTCCTGGAGAGCAGCAGGAGCAGGAGTCGCGTTTGCAGCCACAGCCGCGCGAACCGGCATTATGCCGGCTGTGGCATCA